AAAAACATTCAAGAGTCAACAATCCAAAGGTACTTTGAAAGACTTACTTGGTGATCCAAATCTGACTTATATCCTGGATATGTCTTTCACCATTACAATAGTCTCAGGCAAACTCACGTGCTAAAGTATACAAAAATTTCCAAATATGAAGCTTTGTAACACCTAGGTATTATGGTATACATGCTGTGAAAACAATGAACTGAAAGGGATTCCTACCCTCAAGAGTTCTTAAAATTAATACAAATAGCTAAAAGGTGTTTATTGTGGCAGGGGCTCACTCAAACAGCAAAATCCAATTTTAGACAAGGCGGGATTTTGTTTAACAGTCTTATTTTGTTTTGTAGGGGTGTTATGTAAGAATAGTATTTGTATTTTCCAACACTGTTTGGGAATATAAATATTACATACTGGAATATATTTTTGCTTTTATATCCAGAAAACATACCATTATCAACTGAAAAAGGCTTGGCCTATATCTCAGTCTTTTAAATAAATATTTGCTGATACTTATTTAAAAGTAAGTAGCAAAAAAATTTCAGTAATTTCTAGAAATCAGATCATCAAAACATAAACTATAGCCAGGTATAGTGTTGCACACTTGCAATCTCCGTGATCCAGGATGCTGAGGCAGGAATACTACAAGTTTGAGGCCAGCCTGCAAAACTTAGTGAGACCTGTTTCAAAACTACAAGGGCTGAGGATGTAGTTCAGTGGTAAAGTGCCTCTGGTTTAGTCCCCAGTATCAAAAAATAAACACACACACACACACACACACACACACACACACACACACACCACAACCTCTATTCCTCACTTTATAGTAAACCTGAAATGCAGATGCATTTTTACAGTCATAGACAAAGACAAGCTAATTACTGAATCTAATAAACCTGCTTCCTCTACCCTGATGTCCAACACATTTCAATCAACTTTCAGAAGTGGCTGGGCCAGGTAAACACCCTGGGACTCGCCCCCATCAACTTTTAGACAAATAAATCATTCATGGATCATAAGTTCTGCAGCATTCTTGATTCAGGCAAATCAAGTCATAATTCTGAAAACACTTTGCTTAACAATAAGGACTAGGAAATAAAGTGTTTAATTTTAAAATGTACTGTTCTCAAAGCTCTAGGTAAACTTCAACTAAACAGACTTGAGCCCTTATGCTTGCTTCAATTCAGAAGTGCCAAAACAGGGAATTAGTGTTTGAGCCAGCAGGTTTCTGCTAGCTGTTTTCAACTCAAATTCCTACCCCCTGCCCCATCTACCCACTTTCCTTAAACCTGATTTAACTCTGTCAATCACATTTTTCACCATCCTCACTACCAAACTTTAAAAAAAAATTTTATATATCGATGAACCTTTTATTTTATTCATTTATTTATATGCGGTGCTGAGAATTGAACCCAGTGCCTCACACATGTCAGGCATACGCTCTGCCACTGAGCCACAACCCCAGCCCCCCAAACTTATTTTTGATCACTATTTCAAAACAAAAGAGTCAATGGAATAGGAGAATATACCAACCAACAAAGGCAAAGGCTGAGATTAAGAAAAAAGGAAAACAGTCACTGAAAAACGTAAGGCAGAATCTCAAACACTGTTGAAACTGCCTTATAAAACCATTAGTATATTAAAACAGTCCTGCCTCTGTAATGAAATCTACCTAGGTTTGTTTCTGAAAAAGACCACAGGCTGCAATTTCATTGATGGCTTATACTCACACTCACTGAAATTAACAAGATCCACCTCGCTCCATGGTAAGTGGGAAAGATGTAAATATGAATCTTTCATTCTAGGCTCTTCTGCTAGTTTTTCTTAATCTATCAATTTGTTAAAGGGTGGGCTTTTCCTCCTGCTTCAAGGTTAACTCCTCTTTGTTCGAATTGAAAGTGGGGATTCTGAGCTCTGTGTCAGACTACATAGATTTGAATCCTCTCTGGACCACTCAACAGTTGGGTCACTTTAGAATACTGGACCTTTCTTTGTGCCTCTTTCCTAACCTGGAAACTGGAGATAACAGTATTTCCCATGAAGTCACTGTGAAATTATTTATGAGTCAATTATCATATTGCCTAGCACACAGAGGTGTCCAATAACTTAATCTGTTATCATCTTAGTGCCAAATTCTTCCTAAACACGGAAAGGTTAACCTGGCTTAAAGAAAAAGTGAACAAGATATATATATATATAAAACTCCCTATAATTGTTTTCAGTCAGAACGAAGGATATGCTAAAAAAAAAAAAAAAGCATCTGTTCTGTAGTCACAGACTCCTTTCTCATGCAGCTTTGTTAAGTGTAAGTCATCTTGAATAAAAATAAATATTAAGAAAAATGATGCATTTGGCTTACAATGCTTCCATAGCCCTAAAAAAAGACTGGGAGTTCTCCTGTTGCTGTTGGTTTCCCAGCAATGTTTGGGTTTTTTTTTTTTTTTCCCCCATACTGAAGATTAGAACCCAGGGCCTCATGCATGCAAGGCAAGCACTCTACCAACTGATCTATATCCCCAGACCTCCCAGCAATGTTTTTAATGACCCAAGTTAATAAGTGATATTTTTAAATGGCCCTTATTATGTTTAATGCAGAGAGACTGATGTGAGTTGTGCAGTTATCCTCCTACCTGTGGGCTTCCACATGTCCCAAGAGATTTTCCACATATCTAAAGTCAGACTGTTCTTTGCTTAACATTCATTCAAGAGATGAGAAGCTTGTCTTGTTTTTATGCTTGACTTTTAAAAATAATCTTATCAGTCTAACCCAAGATCAACTTCATCCCTCATCTACAAAAGTGCTTTATCTTTCCAAGACACTCTTGAAAAATAACTGATGGTTCTCTCTACTTAATGAAGATACAGAATATCAGTCTGGCTCTTCTTACTATTTTGTTTCTCAACACATCCTTTGCAGAGTAAAAACCTGTAATACCATTAATACCTAATACTCACTTCACACCTGGATAGTTTCTTTGACCTTTTGTTCAAATCTTTGACTCTTCAAACCTTTCTTACTGCAATGATTTTATATGAATCACAATTATAAACATGAAACTGATTCTCAATTTTACTTCATTTTTTTCATTGTTTTCAAATATGCAAAATGATGTGTTTGATAAAAATAACCAATTTTCCATCTTTGCAAACATAACTGAAAAATTGTACTTATGAGAAAGGAGTACATATTTTATGCACTTCTGTATATGGAATGCAATACTACACAGTAAAGAAAAAATATTAAAAACCAAAATTCATTTACATCATCTATCTTTTCCTCAAACATTCCTACTGATTACTAACGAACAACAAAAAATCATAAAGTACAATATACTTCTTCCTAATAACCAGAACCAGGAGAATACGATCGCAACCATTTCTGGGAGGAAAAGTTCAAGACAAATAATTTTAAAAGGGAAAAAAATGTACAATTAATATGCTGTCAGTAACCTAAAAGCTTACATTACCTCTTCGGGATCAGTCTCAAACTCTACATTTAAGAGCATAAACATATTTACTGTCCTATAAATTTTTCCCCCTACAAACTCAATTATCCCCACCATTGACAAAAGAACAATCTTCTTTTAAAAGTTCCTACAAAGTATGAACAGAAACTTTTTTTACTTTTATAATAATGAACGAAACAATATCAAAATATTATGAAACACCAGTATCCCATCCTCTGCCCTTACAAAGAAAAGGTAACACGATAAGAAACTGAGGAGGCAAATTCTCAAATAAAAAATATAAAGGATTCATGGGATAAATAGCTGAAAGGAATAAAAATTTAGTAACAGGCTAAAAGCAATAGAAATTCTAATCTACACTCACAACTCTTACCCTTGACAGCACAGAACAGAATACCTTGTCTTACACATTTTGAAATTGCAATTTTAAAACGCTAAATCCAAAGACAAAGCCACCCAGGGGAAAATAACAATTGCGCAACAGATCAACAGCTCCAACTTGTCCCTTGGCCTCAGCGCGGCGAGGTTTGCACGCTATAAAGCAGGAAAGGGCCAACTGAGGGCCGCCGTGACAGCCAACCGGCCACTGTCACTGAGGCCAAGGCCACGAATGCTAGGATCGACACAGAGAGGCACCGCGCCCCGAACAAGAAATCCCGGTCACTGCCCACTTAAACCTCACAGTCCGCGGACTGGCCCTCACGTTCTGCTGCGGTGCAAGGGGCCAACCCTGAGTTCCCAGCCCAAACCTCTCCCCTGACCCAAAAGAGCGCGCATAAACGCGCGCGGCACCCCTCCCGGCCGTCGGCCGCACGTCGAGGGATTCCAGCGCGCAGGGCACTTCGTGACTCCCCCCCACCTCCGGGGATTGGGTTTTCTAGATCAGAGCTTCCAACGCGTGATCCCGTGGATCCACTGGTTAGGTTACTTGGCAAAGTAGCGCCCACAGACGGCCCAGCGGGGTGAGTGCGCGGTGCCACAGCCCGTACCCGACTAAGTGGTGGGGCCCGGGGGTGGAGGGACACGGCGGGAGAGGAGGGGCTCCGGGCCTAGGCCAGCAGGAGACCTCAGCTCCCCCGAGAGCGGCCCCGTGACTAGGCACATTTTTGCCGGCTCCGAGTCTGGGGAGCCGCGCAGCCCCGGAAAGGGCCGGGCCGCGCCGGCTCAGACTGCCAGCATCCGCCCCCTCCTGCCCCGCAGCCTCTTGGGCTGCCCAAACTCGAGGACCAGGCCAGGGTTCGGGGTCCCAGCTTCGAGGGCCAGAGAGCGGACATAGACGCTTCCTCTCCCCACACACGCTGGCACAGCCCCCGAACCTCTCCCTACACTTCCACCCCGCCATCCTCAGGGGCCGCAGGTACGTTGACGGTCTGACCGTCTGGCGACGTCCCCACACCCTTCACTGCCTCAAGGGTCGCGCATCGGCTCCAGTGTCCGGCCGCTGCAGTCCAGGCTCTGGCTGTCCCTCCCAAGCCGTGGTTCCCTCGCGCCCCAACCCCAGTCCCGAAACCAACGTGGAGCCTTGGGGCCAGGGAGCACCTGCTGGGACGGCAGTCCTGGCGGCGGCAACTCCATGTCCATCATGCTGAGCTGGAGACTGCGTTGGGGCTCCTCGACGGCGACCCTGTCCCGGCTGCCAAAGCGCGGCGCGGACAGGGCAGCACTGGCGGCAGCGGCAGCTCCTGGGGCCCCCGGCACTCCCCGTTCGGCTACTCGTCCCGAGTTGTCGGCCAGCCCTCTGGCCCGCTCCGCCTCCCGCCCCCTGAGGGCGGGGCAAGATCCCGGGCCCTTCCTTCCCCGGCGGCCCGGCTGCCGAAAATCCCCCACCCCCGCCCCGGCTGACGCAAGAAGCTCGGTGTCCGGGGGCGCGAAGGGGCGGCGGGCTGGGGTCCTTTGGAGCGGCCTGAGGAGAGGTAGTGTTCGACCCCGGGTCCCCGCGCTCAATTTGCCCTTCCCCGCATAGAAGGGCGGCCCTCTTGCCCGAGAGATTAAGAGTTGTTTGACCAAGGTGGCTTGGGCTCTGGCATGAAACAGTTTAAACAGTTGGAACAAACACGCCCGGAGCCCCTGTAAAGGCGCCGGTATCGGAGCTGCGCCTCGCTGATTTGGAGTTGCAGAACCTTGCCCGTTTTATCTCACCCCACCGCCCAAATGTGGCGCCAGCCTAGAGGCGGGGGCCGAGGATTTGGACCGCGGCGGTGCGTACCGCCAACTGCCCTCTGGCCCTCGGTCCCCTCCGGAGCTGGAGCCAGAGCCCTGCCCTGGGGAGGTGTGGGCCACGCTGCGAGCTCGTGCTCGCAGTCACCCTGAACGCCCTGGATTTACTCCCTTGCGCTCGCACTCTCTGAGTTCTGGTCGCCGAGGGCAAAGGAAGGGTGTTTGGGTGGGTTGGGGTTGCCACCAAGAGCTGAGCGGGAACGCGAAGACCTTTCTCTTCCCTCCAAAGCACGCACAAACCACAGATGGCGTTCTTCAACAGGACAACACGCCAAAATTTTAGAAATTTTCAAGTACTCGCGATATAGTTAAAAAAATATAAAGTTATAAAATGATTGAGGGGCTGGGGTTGTAGCTCAGTGGCAGAGTGCTTGCCTAGCATGGGTGAGGAACTGGGTGGAAGCTTTAACATCACATAAAATAAAGGCATGCTGTTCACCTACAACTACATTTTTTTTTTAAAAAATGATTGATATAGTATAGACCTGTTTTGTAAAAACCTGTGCCTAGGGATGAAGAATGGTAACTTATGTATAAATAGTTGTAAAATAATGAATTATTTTTCTTTCTCTTTGCTTTAAATGTCTTTTTCTACTGTGAATCTGTACTACGTCTTTACATTTAAAACATTTAAAATTGATCATTGCCTACAGATAACAAAGTATTTGAAAACAAGAATAGTGTGAACTCCTACAAGTTTTAAAAGAGGCTAGATGGTTTGGGCTTTTTTCTCTTACACATCAACACACGAACTCTGGAGCAAGCCTACTTTGCAGTTTCTAGCTTCTCAGAATTATTTAAAACCAGGTGAAGCAGATAGTACCAACAGAGGTTTTACTATTTCATTCAAAAACCTGACTGTAGCAGATCAACGCCTGCCCTGCGCCCGCCCCGCCCCCTAGTTCCCCCCCCCCAAAAAAAAGAACCCTGCAAGAGCTTACTTTCCCTTGGTTGCATAATTTGACACGCTCAGCAATTACATGTAGGTTACATGTTCAAATATTCTTTTAGATAAGTGAAGTGTAATTACTTGTAATTGAAGCAGGCTTCTCCAACTTGAATTAAACCTCAGCTGTTGGGTTAAAAATCCTGCAAAATGATCCCCACACTGAAAACAAGTTTGGGAGAAATTATTTACAAAAACCTCATACGAAGATGGCAGACATCGTAGTAAAATTTTGGGGTCAAAGGAAACAACAGTACATTGTTAACCATTCAGGTCACTTATTAAAACTACTACATCAGAGATGGTGGACAGCTAACCAGGAGGTAGGAGATGCTCAGTGGCTATCCTGAAGGCATTAGTAAAGTCTTTGGTACTTCCTTGTTAAGCAACATTTCCACTGAGTTTAGACTGAATGAAATAACCATTACCTTTACAAAACTACAATTTTCTGGGAGTATATTATTTCAGGCACCTGAAGAGTACATATTTTCAAAAGGAGGAGAGGAATATGATAAGTTTGAACATGCCAAAGAAAAAAATAAAACACGAAAATCTGTTTGACATTGAATGGTGGTTCAGCTCTAGAAAAGGAAATCTGAGTCTCAGACCACCCATGCCAAGGAGGTTCCCAGTCTTTGAAAATATTGAAATACAGTTGTCCTCTTGTCTCCTCAAAGAAGGCCAAGGAGAACCCCAGCCCTCCTTGCCCTCTAAACTTGCATTCTGTGCTATGGGGGCACAGATAACTACATGTTGAGAAGCACCAGGGGAGCAAGAAAAAAGAGGTTCTTTTATTTCTTTCCTTTTCTGGTGTCCATGAGAGCCAATATACTGCCAAGCTCTTAATTACATGAGTGTGCGCATGTGTGTGTGTGTGTGTGTGTGTGTGTGTGTGTGTGTGTGGTGTTGGGATCCAACCCAGAACCTCTGCATGCTAAGCAAGCATTCTACCACTGAGCTACACCCCTAGTCCTACTATTTTTCCCCCTATTGGTATCACATTCTACTGATCCCTGTAAATTTTCATTAATTCTTTACTGTCTTTGAAAAGACAGACAGCTCTCCACACATGCTTGAGAAGTGTCAGAACTGTGATACCTTGCCCCCAAATCTCACAAAAGGTAAGCATCAAGAAGGAAGCCTTCTGAGTGCACAAAGTTTGGATAACGGTGATGCAGTGACCCATTGTTCCACCTGCTTCTCTTGCTCTCATCTTGTCAAGTTCCGAGACCCAAGAAAGAACCAAGGCTGCTGCTTCTATCATTCCTCCTCAGTTATACCCCTTGTTGGAACCAAAAAATATTCATACTCTCTTGGAGTTATAATTGAAATTTTACTTCATACAGCATATTGGAAGTAAATTTCCAAAAATGATACCCCAAAAAACGACCCCTCCCAATATTGAAGCACATGAGTAGTACCCCTACGTTGAATCAAGGATGGCCCTGGGGTTTGCTTTAAGTTATTGGAGGCCAGGAGTTCCACTATGCCAGGTCCCAGCCTAAGCCTGAATAAAGCCTGACAGCTTTCAATTTTATACTCTTGGAATTTAGTCATCATGTTAGAAATCTGACTACCTTTATGAAGGAGAAGCCACACAGGATGAAACTCCCAGTGGAGAGAGAGGCTATGTGAACGCAAGGACCTGATATTTGAATGTCTTGGACTTTCTTTTTTTCATATATATATATATATATATATATATATATAGTAGTTGGACACCATACCTTTATTTTACTTATTTTTATGTGGTGCTGAGGATTGAACCCAACACCTTGCACGTGCTAGGTGAGCGCTCTACTGCTGACCCACAACCCCACACACACACCCCCCCACACTCCCTGCATCTTGGACTTTCTAGCCCACCTAGTCGGGAAACAGAACTCCAGCCCTGCTAATGTCAGACTGCAACCACATATGAGAAACTGCAAGCAGTGGAAGACTGGCTGAGCCCAATCTACCCAAAGAACTGTGCAGGAGTATAATAAATTGTTTCGAGATGGCTTACTTCATAGCATTAGAAAACAAAAGTAGTAAATATTGAATAGAAAAGCAGGATGTCTCCAGCCTGCTTTATATTTGTTAAGCATTCTGTGAGCATGTTTAAAGATGATTTAATAACATCTCAGGTCAGTAGAAAAGAATTGACTTCCCTGGCAATGAGGATGTTGTCTTTCCCATAATACATACTTTTTGCTACATACAAAGCAAATGACCTCATCACACCACACATCAGTTTTATACCATTAGATAGGTGATGGTGAGATATTCTCCTTATTAAAATACACTTAAAGAATACAGACATTCCACCAATTAAGTAGATTTTTTATATAAATGCATATTAAGGTTCTGACCCTGATATGACTTCATTTACACCAGTTATATAACATTCTTGCTGACTATCTGCTGAGGGAATTTGAACTTCAGGAGAAAACTGCCCATTGAATAAACTGAACTCCAGTATAGTAGAGTCCAAAGTAATTTATGTGTAAACTTTACACACCTCACTATGCAAACTATAGCTATAAAGAGCTGCATATCTACAAAGCCAGTTTTAACTGGTGTAGTTTCCTGTTCATAATAGAAACAGTGCCCTTCAGGAACTGCAATGCAGTGAGTAAAGGAAAAAAGAAATGGAGGTTTAAAAGAGTTATTTTGAATTATGTGTGTTGATATAATATAAATATTTTTGCATAAGAAAAATGCTGTCTGTACCCCCAAGTGGTAATAAAAAATATAAATATTTTTGCATAAGAAAAATGCTGTCTGTACCACAAGTGGTAATTATTTATTAATCTAATTAGTTATAAATTGATAATTTTTTGCCTGTCTGTATTTTACTAAATAAACATGTATTATTTTAAACATCACCAGCAGCAGCAGCATCATGGAGATAAGGTGCAGGGGTGGGAAAGGAATACTTGTCTTTCCCCCCAAACCACTGGATCTATTTTATTTTCAAATTGAATTTCATTCACATGCTTTGCAGATCTTTCCATTTTGTATTTATTAGAGTGGAGCCTAGAGATTTCATCCACACCTTTAATTTTAGTTATGTTAAGGGTATGAAAACTCTTTCCTCTTCCAATTTACTGCCATTATATGCAAAGTTTCACTCAGAATAGGAGTTCCCAGACAAAGAAGAAATTTTATGAGTAGAAACTAAGAACTGCAGCTTCATAATTATATGCAAAGTTTTCCATATATAACACTGCCATTATAGGGAGAATAAACAAAACAGAAAAATGCTTGGGTATAGAACTATGTCTGTAAGGTTGATTTGTGAATATTAGTGTTGGGAGTAGAATATTAAATATTTTTCACTTTCATCTTTGTATTTTTCTTAATTGTTTAAATCTTTTACAGAAAGTATTTTTAAATTAGTGGGAAAAGGGACTGGAGTGTGGCTCAATTGTGAATCCACACACTTTTCTAGCATGTGTGAAGATCTACATTCAATCCTCAGCACTCCCCCCTTCCTCGCACATAAAAGAATTAAGGGGAAGAAAAACTTCATTTGGAACAAACAAAAAGCAGAATGCAATGAATGGGATCCTAATTAGAATGAGATATATCCCATGCTTGTATAAATAGATCAAAATAGATTCTACTGTCATGTAGAAAGAACCAACTAAATTTAATTGGTTCTAAAAAAACATTAAAAATAAATAAATTCTAAAAAAAATTGCAATGAACAAAAGAGCAGAACAGGGCTGGGGTTGTGGCTCAGTGGTAGAGTGCTTGCCTTGCAGATGTGAGGCACTGGGTTTAACTCTCAGCACTGCATATAAATAAATGATTAAAATAAATGTCCATCAACAACTAAAAAAAGTTTAAAAAACAAAAAAGAGCAAAACATCCTCATAAACCAGCCTTGCAGACAAAGTTTATAACATGCTTGGAGGCTGAGAAGTGAAAAGAGAAATAAGATTCACCAAG